TAGAAGATCCTGAAGGATGAGTTAAATTCACCCTACAGGAGAGAGTCCTGTGTGTAAGTGGTACAATGAAAATCTGTTTGGGAGGCAGGGAGATGAGTCAGGAGAGAGCTATAAATTTTTTTTTCGCTACCAAGGATAAACTTTTATTATTTTTCCATAGCATGATGGATTTTATTTCCAAAACAAACTAAATTTATCAAATAACTAGTTCATCTTTCCATTTTTATGATCAAGACATAATTTAATATGCAATAAAATCATGTTCTAGAAATTCTTCTATTGTTCTGCACAGCCAATCGGAACTACCGATCAGCATGAGAGAACCGACATTAACAAACCAGGGTGATAAAACTCGAGTCAAAGGAAGAAAATGGTTCATCTTTCCGCACACTCCCATGATGTTGTTGAAGTGCTCTAGCCCGGGGTGGCCAGCTCATCGGCCAGGGCCACAGACTCACACGAGCCCAGTGGCTCTGGGCACGGGTCGGCTACGTTCAGACTGGTCCACTCCCCACTGCTGCCCAGGATGGGACCAAAGACTGCTCTCCTCACTGCTGGGGTCGTGCTGACTCACCTTCCAAAACTGAGAGGTTAGTCCCTGGGGACAGTCAGACCTTCCGTGGGAAGCCTGCCGTGGCCCACAGCCTGCTCTTCGTCCTGCCTTGGAACGTTGCCTTCCCGCCTTTGAATAGCTCTCAGAGTGAGGCCATTTGACCAGCAGCTCTCGAACATTTTGGTCTTAGGACTCCTTTACACTCTCAAGGAGTATTAAAGACTGCCCTGGCTGGTGTGGCTCAGGTCGGATTGAGCGCCGACCTACGAACCAAAACGTCTCAGGTTTGATTCCCAGTCAGGGCACATGCATGGGTTTCAGGCCAGGTCCCCAGCTGGAGGTGCGTGAGAGGCAACAGATCAATGTTTCTCTCACACATTGATATTTACCTCCCTCTCTTTCTCCCTCCCTTCCCACCTCTCTAAAAGTAAACAAAAAAATAAAAATCTTTAAAAAAATTATTAAAGGCCCCCCCCCAAAAAAACTTGTGTTTAGTTATAGATCAATATTTATCATGGCCTGAATTAAAACTGAGGAAAAAGTAAATATTTATAATACTTAAATAATGAACGCATTAGACATTAACATAAATAACAATTTTTAAGAAAATAAAACTCAAAAGAACTTAGAGAGGAAAGTGTCCTTGCTTTACATTTCTGCCGGCCAATGGGATGCGTGCCGTAGGGGACACAGCTGGGCTCATACCGTCTCATGGGCTCTGCTGGGAGAGGAACCACAGATCGCGTAGCCTCTGGTGGGCTCTACCGCATACAAGTGACAGCATGGGAACATAAAAAGCAAGTAACATGCTAGTATTATTAGGAAAAGAGTTCTGACCCTGCGAATTTCTTGAACAAGTCTCCAGGACACCCAGGAGTCCCCAGACCACACTTTGAGAACAGCCACATTAGGTCAGTACTAATGGCCATGAAACCCGACTGTCAGCTCTTCTCACTCCCAGAGGTCCCCTTGTACCCAGCATCTCAAGGCTTCCCCTTTGCTCCCAGCCAGACTGCTCCCTGGGAGGTCTGCTAGCTGCAGGGCATCTCCAGTCCCTTGTTTGCCCCAGTGCCGCCCTCCACCCCCAACCCCCCCCACCCCAACTTTCTCTTCACACGGTACCATGCGTGTCTGGTCAGGAATCCTGTTGCTGCATCTTAGAGCAGCTCCCAGAAGAGCACCTCTTCTGGCCTTGGCCCCCTTTCCATAAGCCCTTTTCACGCTGTCTGGATAAACCAGCAACTTGTGGGGCTGATTTTCCTCCCTGTCTGTTTGTCCAGGCTGTCTTACAGACCACTGCCAGGCTCACCTTACTAAAAGCAGGCTTGCCTTGTGACCATCTAGAGACAGCTTCTCTCGCCAACCACCAACCTACTGGCCGCCCTTCACGATGCTCCCCCGAGTCCCATGGACCCACGGCTTCACCTCGCCTTGGCTCTGGGCCCATCCTGCTGACTGGGAGGCTCAGCCACACGACTTGCTTTAACCCATGAGATGTTACAAGACAGGACCGACAAAAGCAGAGGCTTGGAAAAGCACTCACGCATTTCTGTTGGCCCTCCGCAGCAGCGCTCTCCTGCAGAACGTGGAGCGATGATCGGAACACTGCACGGCGGCACCGTCCCAGGCAGTAACTAGTAGCCACAGATGGTAACGGACACCTGAGACGTGGCTAATGCGACTGAAGGGCTGAACGCTTATCATTTAACATACCCACTTTCAATAGCTGCATGTAGCTAATGGAGATCGTATTAGACAAAACAGCTATGGAGGATGAGGGACCATGAGGCAAAACTAAACCAATTCATCCCAACTGGCCCTGCCAAAGCCACCCCAGATCAGCTCACCCTGCTGCTTCAGACATGGAAGCAATAAGGCTTCTCCTGGTTGTTCCTTATGCAGCAAAAGCGAACAGTCCCTTCTCCCTCCTGACCCCACCTGCCTATCCAGACAGACCCCTCTCATGCCAGCGGGAACGCTCAGCTCGAGTGGATCCTGCTCCTCACTCTCCCTGCACAGGCCGAGCTTGGTCCGTCGTCACGCGCTGGCCCCCGTGGTCTCTCCCCCGTGAAACGGCCTCTCCCCCGCCTCCCGAAATTGAGCCTGTCCTTCAAGTCTTAATGCAACCTTCGCCGCGAAGTCTTCCCTGACTGCCCCAGCCCACAACGATCCCTGTGTCCATTTCCACATGTTTTGGGCTTGATGTTTGAAAGTTGTATGAGTCAGACACACACAGACTTGGGCTGTAATCCTAGTTGGGGCATTTGACTGGTGGTTTGGCCTTGGGTAATTACTAATTGTTATTATTTCTTCATCTGAAAAAAAGGGGGGAGTTGTTTTGAAGCTTAAACAATATAAAACTAGCAAGTCCCTGACAAGGGCAGATACACTCATGCAATAATCGTTTTTTCTCTCCATGGGTGTTCCTCCCTTTTCCTAGTCCAGTGCCCAGAACAGCACAGGCCATCTGGCTCACGCTCACACAACCCTGTCACCTCAGTTTCTCAGTCGGGGCCCCATGAGGGTTTCTATCCGCTCCAAGAGCATCTACGGAGCTACAGAGGGCGGCGGACGCCGGGCTGGGTCCCCTCCGGAGAACGCAGGCTCACCCAGGGCCACACCTCCTCCCAGGACAGCCTTGACCCTCTGGCTGATCATGCAAGAGCCCAGGGACCTGCGCTCTCAGGCAGATGCCTTCAGTCTCCTGCCTCGCGCAGGTGTGGCTCTGGGAGCCCCCGCAGGAAACGACTGCCCGGCTACGCTGCATCTCAGAGGCGGCTCCCTGGCAGCCCCGCCTGGGCACGGACGTAAGATCCGTAGCGAGCCCCGGGACTGTTTCTCATCGAAATGCCAAACAAACTCTCAGAGACCCAAAAGGTAATGTTCCACAGGAATCAATTTTTAGCGATGAACTTTCCAGGTCTGTGGTTAGTCTGACACCAAGAGTAACGCAGGGACAGGAGGTCCCCTATGTAACACCAGGGCTCTTAACTTGGGGCCCAGTGACCCCATGGGGGTTCATGACTACAATTCAGTGGGTCTGTTAACGTAGTTGGAAAAAAGGAATTTTTTTTTCAGTACCCCTAACTGGTATCCAGTGTCTCCCTCCGTTGAGCACAGAGGCAACAATGCTCAGCAGCAGTCGCACCCAGTGGCCCCGCCAATGGCAGATGTCACAGGTGCTCTCATGCCGCTGCAGGGGTCTCCAATGTTGTTTACGGACCTCATGGCCCGGAAAGTTCAGTCATTAACTGACCCACCGTTGCATCCATCATTACATGTCGCTATTTATTGTGGTTAAAAAGAAGCGCATATATAGGTTCACGAAAATTTTGTTTTAATATTTTGATCGGTATTTCAACATGATTAATTTCCTTGTCTCTCCTGTGGATTTTAATTTATGCACTTAAAAACAATACTCTAAGAAGGGTCTTACAGCCTTCAGCAGACTGCCCAAGGCGGCCAGTTCAGCCACCCCGCTGGCGACTGTCCCTGCCGGTTGAGGTTTCCTAGTCTCATTCTGTTTAGGCAAAGCGCCCGGCTCCACGTGGGTGTGGCCAAAGGCGCAGTCCGTGCACAGCCAGGTCCTGTGGTCCCCCTTCTGGATGCACACAGCTTTATGTGAAATCCACATGGTGCACGGCAGCGGGCGGCAGCGCCACCAAAGGCCTTGACCCGCACGAGGCGCCCCCGGCCGGTTCTGAGCAGGCTGCAGAAAGCTAGAGGTCACCTGGCCGGGCTCCTTTAGGGCCTCCAAGGTGACAACGCTCGGCTACAGGAAACTGGATTACCAGGAAGGTCTGCTTCCCCAGCCCTGAACTTTGGACTGAACCGAGCTGAACTAGAGAGCGAAACCGCTGCCAAGGCAGAGCCGGAGTTTGCACACGCCAGTGGCGGGGGAGGGGGGCGGGGTGCGGGGGACGCCCGTCCGCTCCTTTCCTAGGGCGCGGAGACGCGTTGAGCGGCCTTTTTCTCCCACTGACCCCGGGCTCGGGCCATTGCCCCCCGAAGCTTCCGCGCGCGCGCCTGGCCTCACCGGGCGGGTGTCCTGTCCCCAAAGCCTCGGGACAATGGTGAGACCGACTTCCCGGACGCGATGCCGCGCACAGCCGCGGGGGAGAACGCTCCGCCCGGGGGCCCTGGGTCTCGGGGTCCCAGCGGGAGCAGGGTGCACGCAGGACCGCGCAGACGGGACGAGCGCCCCAGCCCCGGGAGCTCCTCGGCGACAGTGACCGGGCGACGCGGACGTCGGGGACCAGGAGGCAGGAGGAGCGCACTGGGCATGCAGACCCAGCGCGCGCCCCGCGTTCAGCGGCCAACGGGTCGGTCCCCGCCCCCGACGCCCACGTCCGTCCGGTTCGCTGGGCCCCCGGCCTCCTTCCTTCCTTCGCTGCTCGGCCCCCTATTCCCTTGCCGGCCACCCCCTCTCCGCCCGGGGCGCACTCACGTAGACCGAGTGGATGTCGGATTTGTCGAAGAAGCGCAGCGCGGTGCTCAGTTCCAGGGCGGGGGAGACGCGGTCGTCGCCGGGCTCCAGCTCCAGGTCCCCGTGTGCCGGCCCGAAGGGGAAGAGCTCCTGGCGGGGCAGGCCGCTCCCGGGCCCCGCCAGCAGCAGCGGCAGCAGCAGCGCCCGCATCCACGCAGCCCGGCGCCAGCAGATCGCGGCCCACATGGTCCCCAGCTGCGGTCCCGCTAACCGGAGCAGCTCGGCGCGGGAGGCTGGAAGGCGGAGATGTAACCGGACGCCCCTCGGCAGCCCCTCCCGGCGACGGGGGAGGAGAAGAGGGGCCGACGGGAGGGCCCGCCCGCGCACAGGGCGCGCCCAAGCCGCCCACTGTCCGCGCCGGAGGGAGGGACACCGCGCCCCCCGCGCTGGTCCCCGGGGTGGTGGTCGCCCAGTGGCTACGAGTCCCGAAACCAGCCCGGCTCCCGCCGGACGACCCTTGCGGGGACAGGAGGTGGGAACGGAGCTCCGGGCTCAGCACGGCGTCCGGAGTCTGGGCCGGGTCGTGGGGGGGTTGGGAGGAGGTGGGGAAGCGCCCTGGACGCAGCTGTGTGCCTGGATGGTCGGCTATGCGCCCACCCCGAGGCGGCCGGCGGGGTCGAGAGGTCGGACCCACACCGTCCGAATCTCACGGGAAGAGGAGTAGGTGGCGGGCCCAGGCCAGGAGCGCGTTCCTCTACTACCGCTCCGTTCCTCCAGCTTCGCTGAGGAGGGATCCTGGGCTCCCTACGTGGAAGTTCCGCCAAAAATGGAATCCCGCCCTCTAGACCGAGTCACGAGTGTGTAACACAATTCGGTGTTAGGTGGGGTGGGGTCCCCAAGTGTTAAAGGACCCTCGGCTGGAATAACTGGCCAAGGAGAGCCTCGTGTGGGAAGTGGGCACCTGGCCAGGTCTGAGCAAGGGCTGTGGAAGGGGCATTCCGGGAAGCAGAGGGCTGCGCTGCGCGCAGCGTCAAGGACCATCCCCAGAGGAGCCGGTGGGAAAGGCCCCTAATGTCAAACCCAGGCATCTCCACTCACTCTGCCGCCCGGGGGCAACTACTGAGAGTTTTGACAACTGGAGGAAGTCGTGTGAGTGGTGTCCGAACGCTGGTTGATCATTAATTTGGCGCTGGGTTCCGAGCGCAGGCAGGGAGGTCATGAGAGGACACTGAAGGGAAACAAAAAGGTTGAGAAAGGAAAAGGTGGAAATTGAGAAGAAATGACTCTAAGAGGCGTTACAAGGAAAGGAGTAAGACGCGACTGTAAAGTTTGTGCTCCGGGATGGGGAGAAAAGCTAGGGTTGGACGCAGGGCTGGTGTGCGAGTGAGGGCGGCCCGGGGACAGGACCTGGGACAGCGGAGCCGCCGCACGGGCCGTTGTGCTACCCTGGAGAGAACAGCAGCCACCCCTGCTTCTGTCACCAGCTGCGTAAGTGAGGACCAGCGACCCGCTTTAGTAATTCTAGTAAACAGCAAATTTTAAATAGTATTTTGGGAGCGTGAGTCCTGAACCAGTAGGAAACTTAAAGAACAAGCAAATGAAATACCTCTCTGAACATAAAGTCTTTGATCTGCTCATGGCATCTTTTACATTCATTAGTCATCAGATTTTTTCTACCTGGAGAATGAATGCACCTGTTGAGAAGGGCTGCTGGCCGCTCACTGGGCTGAAATGCATGAGCAGCCTGGCAGCCACTGCTCCACGGCCCCTCACACAAGCCAGCCTCGGGGAGGAGCCTGCACTGAGCTGCCTGTCTGCATGGTGCTCCCTGTAGACGAGTTCCTGGAATCATTTCAACCAATAAAAGTGAGACTTTCTCCATCCAACTGGAGCTGCCCAGCTACCTATACATCTTCAGCATCTTCACTGACCAATGAGAGCAGCTCCATTCCAACCAATCAGGACAGGGAGGGGTTTTTTTGGGCCAATCAAATGATGGCGATTTGGAACCCTCATTTGCATGAGGGTGGACCAATCAGGGGCAGGGACTTCCGGCTATATAAGTCAGTTCTCCGGGGGTCAGGGGAGCACACTTTCCTTTCTGATGCTGACTAAGGTGGAGCAGAGCAGAACCTTAGCCCTGCTGTTCAGCAATTGAGCTGTAATACGTTTGAGCTTTTCCAGGGCTGTGCTGTATCACGATTCAACTATTAGCACTGAATAAAGTCTTCTTCACTGTACCCCAAATTGAGAGTTCCTGTTCACCTTGAATTGGCACCAATGGCTATGTAATTAAGGGGCCTCTGTATTGCTACATTTTCTTTTCTTGCTAAAGAGTGACTAAGGCTGCCTGCAATCTGTTGCCAAATCCAGTGCTTTTCCTTCCGCTCCCTCCTGGAATTGCAGCAGTGAGTTCCCTCCCAGAAGCACTTTCTGACTACCCCATGCCATCCACCTCCAGGCTTCTGGGCCCCGGCCCTGCTTGTTCCAACTGCCAGGAGCCCCGAATGGAGCTCCTGCTTCCCCCCAGTGCTCACCTGCCCACAGCGCTGGCCCCACAACCCAGCATGCACCTCGGGTGCTCCTTCAGCCCCCACCCCCTTTGTCTCTCCGCACAGCCTGCTCCGAAGCTGTCACTGGGGCTACAATGCTCTCACCCCTCTCGTGAATTTTTGCCCTTTTTGGTACTCAGGCAGCTTCTGAAACTCCTATTGGTCCATGGAATTTTCCTCAGCTAAAATAGGAGCAAGCCCAGTTCTCCACTTTGCTAGTTCAGAGCAGCGCCTGGAGTCTGGCCTAGCTGAAGCTGTTCAGCTGAAGCGGGGACTCCGCCGCTTACTAGCCCTGAAAACAGGAGGTTTCGAAGTCTCAGTATCCTCCCCACTGGCATGGGAAGTTCATACCTACAGTCAGAGGATGGTGTGAGAATTAAATAAGATGATCCATGAAATGCTCCTAGCACAGGGCCAGGAACAAAGCAAGCGCTCCCTTCATATTAAGCTGCCAGTACAGTCTAAGTGCAGCAGGGGTGCCCGGCCTTTTGGCATCTCTGGCCCACCCTGGAAGTAGAAGAGTTGTCTTGGGCCACATGAAATACTTTGGGACACGTGATCACAAAAAAATCTCATGATGTTTTCAGTAAATTTACAATTTTGTGGCATGCGGCTTGCGGGCTGTGGGTTGCACACTCCTGGCAGTTTTGTGATTCTTAGCATTTCAACATTTGCTAAGAATCCACCATGAGTCAGACGCTGTACTGGGAATTTGAAACACCAAGACCATTGAGATGCAATTCCCTTTGTGAGCAGCTCACAATCCACTGAGGAAGACAGACATAACAGTAACACAATGGGATGTTAACTATGTTATTAACAACTGCACAAGGCAGTAGCCTCATTGCGGATGTGGGGAGATGAGGTTTGTGAGAATTAATGTGCCGGGTTCCAGCAGTTAGTGGAAGAGCCAGGATTCGAATCCCAGCGTCTGTAAAACCAGAGCAGAAATGCGTCCTGCTGTGCCCTCCTGTCTTTCTACAGAAGTTTCTCCCTCAATTGCCATTCACAAGATGTGATTTCTCTGTTTTCTGTACATAATGCTCATGCTCTCTTTACCTAGGCTCCCGTTCCCTTATTTCATCAGCGTCATGTTGCTTAAGTATGTCTAGTATATACTGTAAACTGTCATTTCCTATTTATAGCCCTGCACCCACTGTGCATTGCCTGGTGTTTGGGGGACGTGGCATGCATGCTGTGCCTCCTACGAGGACAATGTGGGCTGCGTGCCAGGCACTCCTTTGGGATTCATAGTTCCAAATGCATTTAGTGTGCAATCAAAACCTTCATCAGAGAATAATTCACTTAAGTCTACATAATAATTAGGTCTTTCTCTTTAGTCATTTCCGTGGTTTTCACAGCTGTATGCAAGCATCATGTGTTTTACTTCTTTTCCAAAGTTCATGGAACCTATCCCAATGCTGCATGTACATTAATAAAAGCTAACTGTTTAAGAATTCAGTCGTACTTTTAAGAACCATTAGATGCAGGCAGTAACATATGCACCCACATTGTAATAATACTCCAGTATTGTTTTGTATAAATTAAGCCCTGCACTTTTGAGACCTGTATTGTTGACGGCTGTCATCCTGATGAGGCAGGAAAATAACATTTAGGAAGCAGGCTAAACATTTAAGAAGTCGAAGTAACAGAAGTCCAGGCAGTTGAGTGAGAAAATTGCTCAGTTGGCCAGTTAGGTTGAGGCAGAAGATAGTCAGGAAGGAGGAAACTCCAGAGGTGCCCCAGGGCTAAGATAAAGATTATGGATAAAGGGCATAGACCCTGTTCTAAAACTAGTAGTTCCTGCTTTCAGGAAAAGCACTGAGTCCTAGTGAATCAGGAATGCACCTGCGCAGAAGATGCTACCTGTACCCTGCTTCATTATAATATTATAATAAATTAGCATTGTAGGACCCCCCCCCTTCCAGGTGGCCAATCAAGGAAATCATGGGAGACCACATGCGCAGTAACTTTAAAGTATTATAATGACTTGTACAAGCACAATAGAAATCCTTGTAGACACTTAGGTCAGCCTCTGTTAGCCTCTGCTCTGCACTGCTCTGCTCCACTCAGCTCCGCTCAGCTCCGCTCAGCTCTGCTCAGAGTTGGCCTGCTCCCATGTTCTGTGTGGCTTAATAAATCTGCTTTCTCTCGCTTTCTGCTATAAACTGTGTGTTCGGTTCAGTTTTTTGTCCGCCAAGAACCTGGTTACCTGTGCCCACCTGTGACACACTGAAGATGACATCTGTTCACCACCCCGCGAGTTTTGGCCACTGACCACACAGGCCATGGAAGATTCCTTTATCAACCAAATATCAGGTAGAGTTAATTGTGTTAATGTTTTAATCCCAAAGGAATTCCTGTAATTCATGTATTATTCCTGTAATTCGTTGTATTATTCCTGCAACTTTTATGTGTCTAAAAATTACATAAATCAAGATAAAATATTAAAACAACAAAAGACAAGTGGAACCCAGCAGTTTATGACAAAGGTCTGATGATAACAACGCAGCAAAATGTACAGAGGAAAAAACATGTAGAAATAGAAGGATTAAACTTTACCCTGTCAGTGTAAGAAACATTCACATCTGGAGAGAATAAGATGCTCACTATTTTAATTAAACAGTTTACAGTCATCATTATCTCAGATAAGGATAACAAATAACAAAGGATGAGAATCAAGCAGGATTTTGGTGCTCAATTTATTGTATTTTCAAAGGAGATTTGGATACATGATACTTTGGGCAAACACGACTGCACCTACCTGTATGCTTGGTTTAGCAGATGCCAAAGTTTTCAGGATCGTGGAAGAAATGGGGCCACATGTTAACATGACCAGGTCAGGGGAGGCGCGTTAGGT